CCGACATAGTGGTCTTTTAAAACTTGGTAATTTTTCTTTTGTTTTACTAACAAATGAGGGCAGTCTTTTGTGTGTATTCCCCTCAAAATTTGAGTTGACGACATCACATTTTGTTAATGGGTAGGAATGTTGTTTGGGTACAAAAAAAGAAAAAAAAGAGTATTTAAAAATCTAGACGACCTGTGTGGACAGACGTGTCTCTTTCACATTGGAGACTACTGCAGAAACATCTTGGCTATGGGCTTGCACTAACTGGGAAATGGTTTGCTTACCTTTACTACAAGAGTTTCCTGTGATCGTTACAAATTATCAATTTCAATAAGAATAGATGTCATACACGCAAAAACCCCGCTCAGGGTGACCAAAGGCTAAGGCAGCAGATCCGTTTTGGTACCGCCGATTATGATGACAGTGACACTCTGCCAATTCAACAAGGACACATGACAATTAGATTGCCCTCAACCTAAAGCAACAATGTGATTTATTCTGGCATTCACGAGTAATTAAATAATTGATTACGTGATTAGGGATAATTTGTATTGTGTAAATTTTTATTACGACCGGGTTTTCTTCGTGTTGACTTCAGGAAAGGCTGCTCACCACACAGCTAATATTGCCCTACGTCACGCCAATGAGCAACGCACTGACTAATGTATCATCTCATGAGCGTTATCAGCAATGCATGTCCTGAATGTTTCCCAACATGAGCCCAATATGGATGAACTTAGAGGACCCCATCAATACATGTATTATTTTTGGCCTGTTATGCAGGTACATGTTTAATGTATATGCACAGTTGTGCTCTAATTATTCTTACCTATTGAAAAATAACATACCTTTCTCAATTCTTCATTTGTAAAAGCTATTATAACGGTACTTCCACTATATTTTTGTCTGTTTGTTGCAATGCACAAACCCACATGTGTGCTGGCTAAACTTCATTTGCATATTTATAGATACGGCGCAGGTTTCTCTTTTGCTCCTGGCCAAAGTATTCATACTCTAGACAAAATCCCAGAAAAAGTTGTCCTTTCCTTCCTGCTGCTTATTTTACTTTGGCATTTTCTTCCTTTAGCAAGGAAGAAACTTGAGGAGTCTCGTCTGGAATTCGCCAGAACACATCTGATCCTAGCCCCACTGGTATGGCACGGATCCTCGCTACCGGTCCATCCTTAGCCACACATCCGTATACGCAATTTCGTCTCGGCGTAGTGAAATTTTCGGCGCACTATCTTATAATCGTAGGCGCACTTTCTTTTGAACTTAATGATTCTTGGCCTGTCCGCTTTCTAAAAACCATTTATTGAATTATTTCACTAACGTTAGTCTGGTATTTCCAATCTTTTTGCCTTTACCCATTCAATTTCACGGTTGCACTCTCACACGCCATCTTAAAAATTAAAATGAGTCTGTTAAGCTTTATACGTCACTTGATCCCGGTCCGTAGACGGCTCTTCCATGTCAAGAACTCTACCAAAAATAAACTTACCTGTACAATCGCTCCGTCCGCAAGGCTTCTGTTGTATATATGATATGGTTACATTGCGAAGTCAGGGCGAACAGCGACCTCATGCTGCCTGAGAATATGCAAATCAGCTGAACAAGGACGAACGCCTTGGTGCAACCATCCGCGGAAGCTGTATTGGGCAGTGTCATTATTCTAATGCAAGAGCCGGTGTTTGGGAAACGCGTTTGGATTGGTTGATTGCTACATAGTAACTGCATAATTCAAGTCGGTCGTAAGGTGAAAGGTTAACTGAATGCGCACGTGGCTATAACTGTACATAATTATACACATGACAAGTCAACAATATTTATTTTGCCATCTTATCAGAGTAATTGGAGATGGAGTTCGCCTTTGCTTTGCTTTACTGATTGTGGTTGATTTTTCTTTCCAACGATTTTAATAGGTGGACAAACGCTATCTGGCTTTATCGGTTACAAAACAGACTCAATCGGCGACCTAGTTTTGCATTGACAAATTAAACGACAATTGTAAAAACCCGGCTACTTCACATTCGTTGTCGGCAAGGCTATCGGCCCTACTGGTAGTACTGGTGTGTTTCGCGGTAGCGCACAGTACATGTAAGCTTCTGTGCTGGCAAACACCAGATAATACTGCCCTTAGTCGACTCTTCGGCTGATTGGTGAAGGTGTATCTTTGGCCAAACATGCAGCTTCAATGCCCTTAGCAGCCAACGAATCCGATTGATCCTGTACCAAAGCCGCCAGGGGAGAAATGACTATGCTATAGGCTTTGTATCAGGTCCGAAGAGCTCCAAACAGAAAGGTACAGCCTGAAAATAACAGATTCTTGTAGCTTGTTAGCCAATTCACGAAAACGTCTTGAGTCCGCAGAAAGTATTCTCATGCTTGCCGCTGCTGCAGCATGAAAATCACGTGCTGCAGTCGTCTCGGAAGGTTCGCCATTTTGCATGGTTCACAATGATGCATTATGCACACGTAGGCGTTTACTGTACTTAGCTTATATTGGTCACTGTGCACTCACCACATGCCTGCATCTATTCATATTCGCATACAAAGTCGTAAGCTAGAAATCTAGAGCAAAAGTAAAGAAAAAATAAGCTTCCGTGTTCGGTTGAATCAAGGCGTTTGTCCTGTTCAGCTGAGGTCGCTCTTCGTCTTGATTTTGCAATGTATGCTGGTAAGAACGTACACAGGTACGTACTAGGTCAGCGAGCAGCTGGTGTGAGTCACCGGTGCTGCGCTGCGACGAATGGCAAACGCCTTAACCAAGATCCTACCTTTTGGTCATCGGTCCTGTGCTCTGATAAGACAAAGATGGAGTTGTTTGGCCACATGGATATTACCTACGTCTGGAGGGAGCAAGGAGAAGCATACAAGCTAAAGAAGACAGTCCCAACTGTAAAGAATGGTGATGGCAACATAATTCTATGGGGTTGCTTCTCTGCTTGTGACACCGGGAATCTCATTCATTAAGATAAAGGGGATCATGAAAAAGGAGAATTATATCGAGATTCTTTATAACAGTGTGAAAGAGACTGCTGCGAAACTCCAGCTTTGACCTGATTGGACATACCAGCAGGACAATAACCCCGAGCACACCGCCAAGGTAGTCAAGCAGTAGTTCATGGACAATGGTGTCCGTGTACTGGAATGGCAAAGTCAAAGTCCTGACTTAAATCCACAGGAGAATCTGTGGAGGAGGCTGAAGACCAGAGTGATAGCCAAGAGACCATCCAACCTGACCCAACTGGAGGCTTTTACCAAGGAAGAGTGGGCCAACATCTCACAGGAGACATGCAGAAAGCTTGTGGATACATTTTACGAACCGTCTGCCTATTTTTGTTATCGGAAAGTGAGGGGTAATTATTAGATACGGGCGTGGTTAATTGCAAGGTCGATCAGGTTAGTGGACACTTAGAAACTTAAGTGCTAATGTCGGGCTTTACTTTCCTATTGTAGCGTGTCCTACTGATCAGGGTTCGACGTTGGTATAGAATGACACTCAGCCGCAACTCGATGTTTTGGTCACTAAATCTGTTTTAATGCTGTCGTCCACAACAATCCGTTTTTAGCTCAATTCCAAACATGGCGCCTGTCGGCAGGGACTGCGCAGGCGCGAGGCGGGAAAACCGCGGGCCGTTCGCATACCAGCGCGGGCAGCCAGCCAACTCCATGCGGGTCCAAGCTGGCACCCCCACCGGCCGGACCCGCCGGCGCTACACTATTATAAAACCCCCCACCAACTTACTCCCCAAACAAACAAAACGCTTTTCTAACAGAGCTACCAAGCACGTCGGCCAGAAAAGCAATTTTGTTGCGTCTGATACTAAAATGTTCGTGTACCCCATACATGTAATATGATAATTGCCCCCAACCTTCCTAGACGTGAAACGCATGCGCAACTTGTAAGATACGCCCACTTTATTATAATTACCCCTAACCTTCCTACGAAAAAATCACGCGAACCGTCCTGAGCAGTCATCAAGAACAAGCTATTGTATTAGGAAGAGACTTTGGATTATGTAAATCTTTGGTATGAATACTCTTTATAAGGAGCATCTATCATTTTGCAAATGTAGTTTACCCAACACACGTGTGTTTGTTTATTGCAATAGATAGTGGAAGTACAACATAATAGCTTTTAAA